ACCACTCAATGAATACGAATAACAGCAGGTTATTCGTTTGTAATCATGCACTCTTCAATTCCTTAGTCACGTTACTGACCCAAAGCATGAACGTATGCTCTAAGCCACAGAGACATGGAAAGCTAGAAGATCTGAGGTTGCAAAGAAGGTCTCCATTCCCAGTGAGAAATCCAAGGAACCAATGAACTTCAGTTGCGTCAAGTGACGTGGAAGACTGGAGCGACGTGGGTGACAACTAACTGCAAGTGAAGGGAAAATGCAGAATACTTCCCCACCAGACAAAGTCCTCGTGCCGAAAGGTCTTTCCCATCCCCACGCCCATTCATTGGTCCATGACCACCCTTTTGATGACAACAGAAAAAGATTTTTTAATTGCCTTATAAAGAAGGCAATAATAAGATCCATAGAATATAAAGCAAAGGCATGGAAAATAGGAGAGAAAAGATGTCTAGGAGATCCAACATGTGACTAAGAGCATTTCCAGAAAGAACAGAGAATAGATCATGGAAGAAATTATCAAAGAAATAGTATGAGAAAATTCCCCATATCTGAAGGACACAAGTGAGGTCCCATTAAGGGAACAGGACACTGAATAATAAAAGATTTACCGCAGAGCACTTCAAAGACAAATTGAGAAGATCCAAAAGCTTCTAGAAAGAGAAAAAAAGGTCACAAATAAAACACCAGTTGTCAGAATTGCTATCACACCCCTCAGCAGCAATACCTTCAGCCAGAAGACAATAGAACAATGTCTTTAAAATTCTGAAGGAAAGGGATATCCAATCTAGATTTATATAACCAGGCACACTAGTAACTAACAATACACATGACACTCAGGCTGGGTGGAGACTAATCTCTTCTTTCACTGGGCATGCCTTTTTTAAGGCTCTCACTTGGGGTTATCTGACCAAGGCTGTCTCTTCTAATGAGCTGCTTTTACCCAGGCAAGATGCATTAAAGCTTTTCCTATAATGCCCATGCTCAGTGGATTCAAATTCTGCTGCCTGAGCTCATGCCCCCTTGCCTTAAGCTCTTGGCCACCTTCACGATTACCTTTCCCACTCCCCATCCAATCTGAGCCCTCAGCTCCACATTTTCATTGTAAGTTTTTCTCCTGGACCCAGGGATGCTGCATATGGCTCTTGAAGTTCGACCCTCCCGAATTATAGGGGCAATGCCCACTTAGGCTGTGCCACCCTAACAATGAGCCTAAGACAGGGAAGATCAAGTGGGGCCAGGTGGAGGCTCAGAGCAAAAGGGAAATAAGGCAACCTGCTACTAAGAAATGCCTCCGGACTATAATTGAGAGTTTTGTGTTTTGTCCATATTTGAGCTCACCAGTGTAGAAGAACACACAGGGATTCTGGGCAGAAGCCCTTTCAAGAAATGTGCATTGGCCTAGAACATCACCCTTGTCGTAACTCTCTGGATTTTTAAACCCAATAGTGGGAAAGAACCTCTATGGAGCTCGGGTTCAGCAGAGAAGAGATAACCTCATTGCCCTACTCCATCATAATTAACAGAATGTCCCTAAGTAACAACTTATGAAGCCGAGAAAAGCATCCAAACAATTAGGACATCCTAGATATTAGGATTAAAAAAAATTAGGTGAACTTAATATTCACTTGGAAATGTACAATACGCATTCCCCCAAGCTCCAGTCCTGGTGTACCACCAGCATCACCGACTCAACACATCCAAAATCTAATTCATGACCTCCTTTCCTAAAACGCCTCCTCCTCCAACTTCCTCATCTTAGTCACGGGCCTCCCCAGCATCCCTTTCACATCGTTCCACAACTGGGTGTGTTCTTCGCATCCTCCCACTCCCTCGCGCCCAGCTGACAAAATCCCGTCAAACCTGGAGAGTCCTGTTGGCCCTCCTCTGCATTAGCTCCCCCTCCTTCCCTCTCCCCATCTTCCCGGGGTCACTCCAGTTCAAGCCCTCATTCCCTCCGCCTAGTCCATAGGTTCCCATCTATGGCCACCAAATAAATGAAGCCAGGGCAGAGTTCTGATCATTTTCTGTAGCCAAGAATATGTATGTGCTGCTTCCCAATATCCATTTTCCTTTCTCTCTCAGTAACAAAGCCCTGATTTTTAGCTAGTCACATTGCTGCCCAGAATAAAGTGTATGCTTCCCAGCCTCCCTTGAAACTAGGCGTGGCAACGAAACATTCTGGCCAATGACATGTAAAACAATGGGTTGTGAGGGGCTGCTGAGAAGGCTGCTTAAAGTGAGCTGACTCAGCTGGGATGCATACCCCTTTTCCATTCCCCCTACCTCCTTTTAGGCTGAAATGCAAGCATGGTGGGTGGAGTCCAGCAGCCAGCTTGGACCATGAGATAACTGTGAGGATGAAAGCCTGCTTCACTAGAACAGAAAAGCAGAAAACTAGGAGGGGCTTGGATCCCTGAAGACTGTGTGGGGTTCACACTCCTGCTCTGAAGTGCTAATCTCCAGAGGCTTTTGTATAAGGAAGTAATTCTTCTTTGCTTAAGCCACTATTTTTCAGGTCTCTGTTATTCACAGTTGCACGGAAATCGTAACTGACAAAATTTTGCTTTCAAAAATCGTTGATGGCTCCTCAATTCCAACAAAATAGCGTCCAGATTCCTTGGCCCAGCACCCATGGCAATCCCAAACCTGGACTGCAACTTCCTTTCCAGCCTTGTCTTCCACTCCTTTCCCTCATGCAATTTATAATCCAGCCAAACTAAAGCCCTGTGACTCTCAGGGAACATGGCCATCATCACGTGCTTTAACAGAATTGTAGAATGTTAGAGCTGAAGATGCAAGCGAGCCTCTGGCGCAGTGGATTTACAACAACTATGATCAGTGAAAACCACTGGCCTGGTCCAAGTTTTCATTTTATTTTTCTTAAAGGAGAAGAGACTGAGGCCCATACGAGTGGCTGATGGTATGTACAATTGGTCCAAGGCTGGCTAGTAGCAGGCCCAGAACTAGAACCTAGGTTTCTCAATACCTACTTTGTTCTTTCCATTATTTTTACCAATAAGTGATGCAAATAGAGGTGCTCAATAAAAGCAAAATTAAGTGTAGCAAGTTTTCAGTTACTCAAATTTCTGGTTAAGAGAAGATGGAATTACACTAAATAAGAATTTCCAGGCCTTTTCAATCCCCATCAACTAGGTTGATCAGGAACACAACATAAAGAACAGTGGGCTCAAGGTTAATTCCCATCAATCTGGAATTTTCCAACCACCAGAATTTTCCCATTCAGACCCATGCCCAAGGGAGCCGCGATAATTAGCCCACCCAGAGATGTGGGATTATATACCAGGTCAAAGGATGTGTCTCCCATGATACTCATAAAATCCTATTGGCTGGTGCTTCACACTATTAAAAAATATCAAGACGTTGGCTTACCTGAGAAAACCACATTTTTCTCTGTTTGGTCCTTTAGTCATCACGAGTGGCAAATCGAGTTGAAGATGCTGGACTGTCAGACCTGCCTTTGGGGTACTGATGAAAGCCTGAATCTACCCGCCTGTGTTTAAGGAAGGTCACTGCTCCATGTGAAGCAGAGAGGGAACGAACCATTGAACGCTAGAGGAAGGAACTTAAGAGACCACCAAGTCCCACTTCACTGGGGTGAAGTTCTGCTTTGTATATCTACGCATTGCGAATTAGGTGTCTTCTACTTGGATAACAAAATCACAGAAGACAAGATGTATGTACAAGGTTAATGCTGTCTAAGGAGAAATGACCTGGGTTGTGATTGTTGAGTGCCCAAAGACAGAGGAAGGGAAGGGAAGAAACAGAACCTGTGTAGGGTCCCAGGAGGCTGTGATGGCTAAAAAAGTTCCTTGGGGCTGACCCCAGGCAGTTTCCCTACTTTCCAGAAAGAGGGCAAGGAGAACAGTCTCAGGACCAGAGTGGAGATGATGAGGCCAAACGCGACTGACCACTCACCTTCACTGAACGCTGCACAGATTCGAGCTTGCAAACGCAGCTCCTTCCTCTGCAGTCAGCCAGGCCTGTATGCACAGTCTGACTTGCCCGCACACTGTGTGACCCGGAGGGCAAGTGATCCTGCTAAAAAGTCTATAAAATGGAGATGATAACACAGCACATACTTGATGGGGTGTCAGAGGAGTAAAGGAGAGCGCCACACTGAGCCTGGCACACGGGGCGTACTCCATAAATGTTGGCTATTGTCATGTTTTATGCTCATATATACACAGTTCATCTCCCCAGCTAGCCCATAAATGCTTTAAAAGCAGAGACCATGCCCTTGCTTCTCCACAGCACACAGAAGCCTTGCCACAGGTTTCCAGTGTTGGATGATTGATTAATGGGCACTGGAAGAGGAGGCCGAGCTCGTTAGATTACATGTGACAGCATGTTCCTTCCAGTTCTCAAAGAAACTCTCTACAAGCCCTTTATTTCGGGAGAAAACAGCAAATCCCCGCAGCTTTTGAAGAATATCAAAGTGTCTCCTATTGTCTCCCATTTTACAGATCAAAGAAGAGAGCTGTCAAGGGCAAGCTGGGGAGGGCAGAGGCGGGAAGTGACAGCCCAGGCCTGCCAGTGGGCTCCCCGTGCAGCCTGCGGGCAGCGTGGCGCCGCAGCTCCCGGAGCACCCGCGCGGCCTGCTCCTCCTGGACTGACGGACAGACGGACTGAGATGGCGCTGCCTCTGTCCCGCAGCTTCGTTCACGGCCGAACACTCCACGGCCAGCCGTGCCTTTTCATTTGTAAGGATCAAAGTGGAAGCTGTGGGATGCAGAAGCAAGCGCGCTTTTAGCAACTATATGTTTTTAAATTCAAACTCCAAACAGTCCTCTGGGCTCACCTGTCCCCTAGTTTCTGAATCAGGTAGGCCTGGCCGGTGGCGGGCCGGGAAGGTCACGTGGCGCCCTCGGCAACCCAGCCGGCCCCCGCCCCTCCGTCTGGGGAGTCGGGTTACCTGGAATGTCGGGCGCCGCTCCGAGGCTGGGCGGAGGCCGGAAGGCCTGGGTGCGGGAGCAGAGGGCTGTGGGGAGACTGGGTGGAGAAACCAGAAACTTGGGAGGAGGGAAACAGGTTTCCTTTTTTAGGGCACCCGTGCTGCAGGCACATGTGGTTGGGAGAAGAAAAATGCCAGTTACTTTTGTTTGTCTTGAGACAAAGGGAGAAAGGGTTTTCTTTTTTCTGCCTGGAAATATATGTGAAATGCATACCTGAAGTTGTACTGGGTGGGGACCGAAGTCGTTGGCAACCACGCTGTAAAGGGGCAAATCAGAAGGGTCATTGTATGAGCAATGGCTACTGAGAATGGCTGCATAATAGGCGCATTATGGAATGCACACCTGGCTCCTGCAAAGCCCGAGAGTGAGAAATCGCTTTTATAGAACCATCGGGTGAGCAAAAGGATGAAGGGCTTCCGCTGTGTCAGAACAAACTGGTGCACTATACACAATTCCAGGTATGGTGATCTTCACGGGAGCCCCGCCCAGGCACAAGTGTGCACGCCAACCACGTGGGTCTTCTGAACATTCCCACGATTTTTCCTTAAGACAAAGGAGGGACAATTTCATTCCGGTCTCCGGTATGTGGAGGAAATCAGGCCCTAACAGGCAAGTTCCTCCATCCTGTCTTCTGAGTTGACAGTCAGCAGTCTGCAAGGAGGGGACGGGAGAGTTTGCCATTTAGGAAGGCAGACGCCTCTAGAGGGGAAATGGGGCACCTTCAAGATTAAAACTTAACTGGAAAAGGAAGAAAACTCAGATAATATCCTCTCTGCCGTCCCCTAATACCTTGAGGAGTTCAAAGGTTTTCCAAGCCTGGGGCACTTGGCAATTATAATTACACAGTAAAATACCTAAGGTTAATGAATAACCTCTAAAGGAAGTTACTTCACATAATGACAGCAATTTCTCTGAACTAAATGTTAATAATAAGGCCTGTAATACTATGAGAAGGAAATGGTGGCAATTGGCAAATGGAACTCTGTTGCTTGGTAACAAGACCTGAGGTATGAACATTCTCTACCTCACGGGAAAAGGGTGGGTGGAAAGATTGCAGCTCCAGCCTGCACGTTTGAGAGGCGGGCAGCTTTATGAAGACACCCGCTGTCCAGAGGTGCGTAAAGTGGAAGCATATGTGGCCGATCACTCTGTTAGCAGAGAGAATTTGGAGGGGGAATAATTCCCTAAGAATTACTTAGCAGCGTGGTAAAGGAAACGGGGTGTAATCTGTAAAGAGACTGAGGGCAACCTAGTTCACCTTACCCGGTACAAATCACTGCTACACAAATAGAACATTTCAGCAAAATCCGCCGAGAGCTCAGTCTTCTCCCTGCCTCTCCGCTTCTGTTTGTTCCAGCAGAGACGTACACTTTGATCCTCTTGTTTGTTTTTTCTGTTTTGGAGTAACTGTGCCATTTGAGAGATGAATTAGCAAAGAATGCAATTAAGACAGCCTGAGAGTGCAAGGTGCCCTGCAGAGGAGCTGCAGGCGTATCTTTGGTTGGGTAATTATTGGCAGTCTGAACTGAAAGATCCTAGAGACAACTTCTTCCAGCTGGTCATTAATCAACAGGAAATCGCCTACAACAAGGTCATTATTACCTTAAACTCTTACAGGAGCATATTCGGTGAGAGGCTGAGATAAGGCTGAGAGTTTTAAACCCCTGTTTGTTTTATGGCAGTGGTTCTCCAATCTGCCAGAGTATCTGTTTCAACTGGATAGCTTTTGAAAATACAGATTCCTGGGGCCCCACTCCTGGCTGTTGATACAATAGATCTAGGGTAGGTACCCAGGAATCTGTCCTAAATTCTCCCTGGCGTTCTGATCATCAGCCAAGTTTGGAAACCACTTGTTTTGTAGTTTTTTGGTTAGAGGAATGATAGAAAGTGAGAGTGAATAGTCTTTTGCACTTGGAATTTAATATAGTTTATTTCCCTAAGAGAAATTGACCTACACATTTTTTAAAAGAAAACTAAATATGCTCATTCTAAGTGCATTGTTTTATCACGTTTTGTTTTTTAATATTAAAAAGTTTTAAAACTAAATGTCATACCAAAAATAATCAACTTTCTGACTATACAATCATTTAATTTGAGGCTATTTACTATAACGTTAGCATCTTCCTACGTAGGCAAATAAAATCATCTGCCCTAGGAAACTTCAAAGGCTCACAAAATGAGGCTTGCAAAATCACAAAATCGGCAAAATTTGTCCCCCAGTCTTGGTTATTTTTCATGAAGTTTCTTGTCAAGAGTTGGCCAGTGCTTTCTAGAAGCCCTCAGTAGACTTCTTTTTCCCAATTTTCCCTTCACCACATGCTCCCTCTGACTTCTCCTCTCTTTGGCTCTATGACTTTTTTAAAAATAATAATACTATATTATTTAGCTACAGGTCTTAATGGGCTAATGTTATAATGGCCAAATAACACAAACATATCTTTACCAAAAAATGGGTGGGGAGGGACTTAATTCAAAGGGGTAACTCTTGAATAGTAAGATGTTTGGGGCAGATTAGCTTCTGGCCTGAAAATGACAATATCTTACACGTGAATTGAGCCCTGACTCATTAGGATGTCTGCATTTACTATGCACAATGCAAGGAATTACATACAGTCATGTGTCACTTGACAAAAGCAATACGTTGTGAGAAATGCATCATTAGGCAATTTCATCACTGTGCGAACATCATAGAGCTTACTTACACAAACCTAGATGGTATAGATGGGATAGCTTACTACACACCTAGGCTGTATGGTACTAATCTTACAGGACCACTGTCATATATACACGGTCCATGATTGACCGAAACATTGTCATGCAGTACGTGATCATTAACAAGACTTTCTAACTATATTTAGAGAAATTAGAAGCCATTCACTAAATAGTCAAGAGAAATACCATCAAAATAATTAAAAATAAAACCATCAGAATGTGTGGATTGCCTGAGCCACTCACAAAGAGTGGAATTGACAACTTAACAAAAGCCATTTCCACTTGCCCCAAATTCCACAGGGGTCATTAACATGATTCTTCAGAAGCCAGAGGCAGGTTTACTTTAACCTCAAATCCTAATTTATTGGAAATCCTAATTTATCCTAATTTTTATGGATCTCTCTAAAAAGAGATCACTACTCTACTCTTACATCCATACTCTGGGACTAGTAGAAACCTCTGGAAACGTCCACTGTGGGGCTGATGACTCTCTCGATGTTTAGAAGAACACCTCTCATCCCGAGGGCTGCACCCAAGGACACACACACCTGAAAGATCACACGGATGTGCTGATTCACCAGCCGACTTGAACTGAGGTTGCCCAACATGGTGGAAAGCTATGAGAGCTATTTGACCTTCACATCTCGCGGCTAGAATAATGTCAGCCTTACAGAATGTAATGGCTAGGCAAAAGGGAGCTACCTCTTCCCCATAACACCTCTGCCTCCCCCCGCAACCACCTCCCTCTGTGCTCTGGGCACCTGTGGGTGACTCCAGTGATGCCTTTGCCATGACGGTGTTGGCTTGTCTGTCTCCTGTGTTGGAATAGAACCTTGAGGGGAGGAAGTGGATTTTCCTCAGTCTCACTTTGCAGGGTAGAGCACAGCACTGTAGGTGCCATAAGGGGAAGAAAAATTTTACCTCTACCCTCTTAGAGTTTCTGGTTGGGCCTGAGAATTAAATTGACATAAGATAGATTAACAGGAGAAAAGCATAGATTTATTTAAGATAAGTTTTACAGGACACAGGAGCCTTCATAAGGAAATGAAGACCCAAAGAAATGGCAAAACCTAAGTGTATATATATAGTAGGTTGAACAAAGAGAGTCACTTGTGGAAAAGTAAAATATATGGGGCAACTAAAGGAAAATGAGTCATTTTAACAAGGTTTGTTTGTACAGATTTCTCTCAGCCTCCACTTTTCCTCTCTGGTGATGAGTGTTCTTTTTCTTCTGGTACAGGGAGGGCATCTTTCACTTGAGAGTCTTGTCTCCTGCTTCCAGGAAGAGAAGGGGAGGTCAGAGTGCCCTTCTCGCACATGCCGTTTTTTGGTGCCTTTAGCTCATAATAATCCATCTGCCTGAGTGGCATATTTTGGGGAGGCATATTCTGCCATCCTTCACTATCGAGTACATTAGAGAGTTAGATGCTAATAACTAATGAGTGCATGAAGGTCTGTGCTGCTAATGGTTGCTTGCTCTGTGTTAGCCATTGTCTTCTCTTATATTTTTCTTTTGAAAAGAAGACAAATATTTAGTGATGCACTTAGTCACTAAAACCTTAGTATGAATTATTACAGTTGGTGGTTCTTGCCCAGGTTAGAAACACTAATGGACTTGAAAATGTGAGGAGAGGAGAGGGAAACAAAAGTCAGAATAAAGAATAATAGCTATGACGGGCAACCTTTTATCAATATTTCACTCTATCTACAGGTTGATCCTGAACAGAGTTCCCATTCCAGTTCCTTCCCACTCCAAAGGACAGATGGTGATGGAGTGGCCTGGTGATTTACTTGAAATGAGTTGGTCCCATGAGCTACAACTAGGATACTGAAGATACAGTATGTATGCATCCTCGATTAGGAAATCGAGGCCTGAAATGGATAGTGATAGTTTCTTGGTGAATTACTCATCCTGTGTAAAAATGACTATTCAAAATAGACCTATGGCAATCCTGGCACTAATTTGTAATATATTCACAAGGAGAGTGAGAGAGGTGTGGGCAAGGTCCAGAGGTTTGATCATAGAATCCAGAGTCAGACAGATCTTTATTAAATTTCTGGTTCCGTCATTTACCAGTTGGATGACCTTGGGTAGGTTACCTAAGCCCCAGGTCTCTCATTTGTCAAATGGTAATAGTAACACCCTTACCTTCCTGCAAGATTGTTGAGAATCAGAGATCACATAAAGCAACTGGCAACTGGCACATAACAACAGTAGATATGATACTATCATCATGTGCTTAATAAATGTCCACAAAAGGGAAAGGACTATTCTAACGTATTTTGGAATCCCTCTGGCCTAGACACATTAACTCATGGCTAATACTTCTAGCAGGCACAGCCCACTTGAGACTCTTCATTCTTAATGCACAAGAGTATTAGGTTTTGCTAAAGGTTGAGTCTTCATAACACAAAATGAATAAGACATTCAAATATTTTCTAGTTAATTTGATCATTAAACATGGTTAGACCACAATATTCAAATTATTTCTTGGTTTGACCCACTAAATATGCTTAAAACTGTAAAACTGCTTCTGCTGGTGGGCATGAGGGACACAGTACTAAGAAACGTTGTTCTTTAAATCGTGGACCTTGAAAAATCCGGATGTTTGAAATCCTATCAGGGAATATATGAGCAAAATGAAATAGCTTTAATCTGAGTAAGTTGAAGCAACCCAGCTTTGGTCCAAGAGCCAAGCAACATTATCCCCCGATTTTGCTAGAGCTAACAAAATTATTTCTCTCTTCTGTTAAAACTCATCAAAACCCTTTATACTGGGCCGGCCCGGCGGTGCAGCGGTTAAGTCCGCACGCTCCGCTTCTCGGGGGCTCCAGGTTCGCCGGTTCAGATCCCGGGTGCGGACACGGCACAGCTTTGCAAAAGCCATGCTGTGGTAGGCATCCCACGTATAAAGTGGAGGCAGATGGACATGGATGTTAGCTCAGGCCCAGTCTTCCTCAGCAAAATGGGGAGGATTGGCAGTAGTTAACGCAGGGCTAATCTTCCTCAAACAAAAACAAAAAAAAAAACCCCTCTGTACTCACTTAAAAATGTCCACAAGTCCTGCTCAAGCAACCTTTAAATAAACTATGTCCCAATATTCTGTCTCCCTTGCTCAACAAGATAAATTCAGCTTTTTTTTCCGTCAGAATTGACAGTCTTGTTATCAGAACAATGGAACCCATAGTGTTTATAGCCCTTAACACCTCTGTGAAGAAGCCCTGATCTTCTGAGTGTCCACTTTTAGGTACTTCATGCCATTATTACTTCAAGAATTAGGATTTCTCCTCCAGAGATCATGCTCCTGAAATATTCTTGTTCCTGTAGACTTCTTACCCCTGTCCTATGTCCTCTAAAATATAGCATATATGGTCACTGCTTAAACTCTGAACACTGAGGTGATATCAGAGGATACAAATTGGGTAACTTCCATGTACTGGGCTTATTGAGCTTGACCTAGATGGACACGGTTAGGATTTTAATGATCCTATTCAATTCCCATTTCTAGTTCAATCTACTTCCCTTCAAATATACTTCCCAAGGGGTAGGAGGTGGGCAGGGTGGGAGTGAAGGAAAAGTCTTTGTACCTCAATTCCAGGCCCACCCCATGATTCTGATTGAAACCACCTTCCTTCCGGCCACCCAAATCACGACACTACGGCTTCCCTGGAGTCTACTCAATTCCACTCATTCTTCCATTTCTCTGGGCAGAGAACTCCAGGTCTGTCCCCATGAGCTGCCCCTGCTACATGGCTTCCTCACGAGCCCACATGTTCTATCAAGCTCCATGTCCCCTCCCAACTCTGATCCCCATCCACCTTCCCATCTTAACATTCCTCCAAAACCTTATCCAAGATTTTAATCTCATTTTTTTCTGACTTTGGGGAATCACCCCTTTCAAGCTCTATACCTCTCCCAAGTACCAATATCGGCATAAACATTTCTAAATCCAGTCATATTTCATTCCTCATCAAGGATGGGGCAACTTCGATCTCCTCATGACTTCTAAGCAAAGTCAAGATCCTATTTTCCTGAATTGTCAGTGGGTATAAGTAGTTTCAGGTAGTATCCCAGATATAGCAACACAACATCAAAATCTAATCCTTTGGCAGTGTCTGAATTTTCTAATTTGACCATTCATTGGCTAAAATTAACATAAGTGGTTTCAGATTTCCACTTAGAATACTGCAGACATAACTGTATCAAGATATACTAAATAAAACCATTTTTATCTCTTTAAAAGTAACATATTGAGCATATGCAGCAGCATACTGTAAGCTATGTGTAGAGGAGGAGAAACATTCCTCTACTCTAAGTTCAGTGACTGAGGTCTGTGAATTAAACTGACAAAAGACAGATTAATAGAAGAAAAGGTTTATTTCCTATGTACACAGAGGGGGGCTTCACAGAAAAGAAATGAAAACCCCAAAGAGGTGGTTAGATCTGGAGCCTGATATACCATTTTAACAAAGGGCAATAAAGTGTGATGAAGAAACTAGACAAAGGAGAAGCAGGGGGAGGGACTTCTGGGGTGGAGGAGAGTTTTAGGAAGATAACTAGGAAGTACATGGTAAATAAGGGTTGTTTAGTAACGTTTGTTATGTGGTATCAAGTTATCTGAGGTAGTAAGAGCTCTCTCACTGAGACTTACTGAAGAGGAGAATAACTTTACAAGTGGAAATTTCCCTTACAAATGTAAATTTCCTTTACAAAAGAGAAATTTATACCCTGCTTTTAGGCAGGAAAGTGGGGGGAAGAGAGCACCTCCTATATTTGCTGTTTCCTGATTGCCTTTAGCTCAAAATAATCCTTGTGACAAAGTGGCATATTTCCAGGTGGCACATTCTGATCCTCTTCATATGCAAAGACGAATAGCATGCAGACCTTACCCTCAAAGAATTTATGCAAAAATGAATTCATTAAATTCCACCAGATTTGATATTCTAGGAGAAAGAATGATGAGGGGGGCATCATATATAATGTACTGTATTTTAGTTATGAGGTGATTGCTGTGGTTTAATCAACATAATATCCAAATTTAATTAGTTTACACAGGAATGCCTCATTATCCTATCCTGAAAAATATGTTGCATAGTAACTTTAATCCTTTCCCCAAAATGGGTTACCTAATTTTCAGATGACAGGAACTATAAATCCATTCTTCCTCTCCTTTTTTTTTTTTTTTTTTTTTGAGAAAGATTAGCCCTGAGCTAACTACTGCCAGTCCTCCTCCTTTCTGCTGAGGAAGCCTGGCCCTAAGCTAAAATCCATGCCCGTCTTCCTCTACTTTTTTATATGTGGGACGCCTACCACAGCATGGCATGCCAAGCGGTGCCTTGTCCACACTGGGATTCAAACCAGCGAACCCTGGGCCGCCAAGAAGCAGAACGTGTGAACTTAACCGCTGCGCCACCGTGCCAGCCCCTAAACCCATTATTCGTAATAGGAAAAATAATAAGATGTTCCCAGTGTGTCTTAGCCCAGCCAATTTCCCCAAACATCACTGAAACACTCTTAGACATCCACGTAACAATGCATCAAAGATTCCTGCATGCCACAAAACTTTTAAAAGACCAATTATCTAATTATTCAACACGTAATGAACTCATTAGTGGGTACATTTGTATGCTGTACTTGGTGATATTGTACAGAATCAGATATGAATTATGTTTTTCCTTCTGTATTTCCATAAACATGCACTGTAATCTAAATAAACAATGAAGTGATATGTTAAAGATACGTCAAAGTTCAAATAAGACTCGGCAAAATAAAATAAACAAGACAATTATTTTTGAATGGCTTCTGCTTGAAGAGTTGCCTGAGTGAGGCTCAGGGGCCAGAGACAGAAGTCGGTCTGTGGTCGCTGTTGGTTTTTGGAGGTGAGAGAAGGTGAGAAGGAGAAAAGAAGCGTGCTTCATCATGTGAAGCTTTTCTCCTAGGAGGCAGCTCTTCCAGACTTCTTGGACTCACCCAGAGGCTTTTGCACTATCTTAAAAGATGTTTCACTGAATAATGTGGGGAAGATGACAGCAATAATGTGCAATTCATTTTGTCAATACACAAACTTGATTCTATTGAGAGAACAGATGACAGGAGTCTTGCTCAGACTCCAGGACAACTCAGAGTTTTGCTGGCTTGTTTGTGGACTGATGATGGTAAGTTGTAATTCAGATAATGAACTTCTTAATGCAGGAAGTTCTTAATTCAGGAAACAGGAGTTGGTGAAATTGAAACCAACATATTAAATTAAAGGAAAAGCAGATACAGCCAAGTACTTAGAAATTAGAACACCCAATTTTTAAGAAGGTTTGAAATAGAATAGCGAGGGAGCTACAATTCTTCAATTTTTATACTGTACTCTAATCCTTCATTCTAATCCTCTGAAGTTGTTTGGTAAAAATGCAACAGATATCTGAGGAAACCAACTTGACCTCAATTTTTAAACTTTTGCTCAAGATTTAGGTATAAACATGAACATTTAATTGCATTAACTGGTAACAGCCTATATAATGGACAAGGCTTGTATTTATCTGCACAGCACCATATTTTCCAGTCTTCTGGAACCAGCCTCCGCATATTCCCTACGAAGAAAAAGTGTGCCTCCTCCCATTTGAATGTCTCTAAATCCCACACCCTTGTCTGTCCCCTTGATCACAGGGAGATCGATGACGAAGGCCCAGGCAATTGGAGTAAAGCCCGCTGGCTCTAGCAATTGGTCCAAGAGTGAGCACCTGTTGAAAGATGAGCCTTTCTTTTCCAGAGATTCCCCAAACTGAAGGTTAGAGAAAGAGTCTCTCTCTTTTGGCATCACTAAGCCTTCCCCAGGGATTGTCTATACTCTGGAGCCGCCTCTGGAAATTTCCATTCAAGAAGCCATCTAAAGTTATGGAGAATGAGTGATAACAAAAACGAAGCCAAGACTTAAGGCAGAGAAATAGAAAGACAGTCCTAATACCTCCAGTTCTGGATCCAGGTGACTTTGAGGCCAACCCCACCCCTTCTTTCCCTTTATCAAAAGTCACAAAATTCCCCTTTTTGGATAAATTCTTTTGAGATCAGTTTCTGTCACTGCAACTGAATGCATTCTGACCAATACACCTCTATGTCCAACAGGATTGGTTAAGCAAACTATAGTATATTCATAAACTAAAACTAATGTGGCCCTTAAAATGATTTTACCAAAGTATACCTTTCAATAAAAATTAAATGAATGGATGGCATGCAAAGATGATCTGATATACTAAGTGAGAAAAAGCTAGCTCTAAAAGAATATTCAGTATCAACTAATTATGTTAAAAAATAGATGGATAAATAGAGACAATATTTTAATGGTAGCTTTTTTCCTAGGTATTGGGATGTGTGATTTTTTAAATCATTTTCCATATTTTATAATTTTTACTTTTATAATAAGAAAAATGATACTAAAAACCAAGGCTTTGGTCCAATCTTTTTACAGGTCTATGTACAAATTAAAACATAATCACCCACCAATTCACTCTGAATTTTACCCTGCTCCTTTATTTCTAAACAAGTTTCCTGTACCATAGTAACACATCATCCATTTTCTTTTCCAAGCATTAGGACTCTAAAAGATGACATTTATAAGGATGGTAAATAGGCAGCACCTTCTACCAGCATAGTTTATGGCTTTTGGCTAGTGTAGCAATGCACAAAAGAAAAATTTTGATCTAAATGAAGTCACTCAGTAACTTTCTAATTATTTTTCTCCATAGTAACACATGTAAAGTATGAGAAATATGTTTATTCAAGTTTTTTTCCTTCTCTTTAATAACTATTTCAAAAAGCTTAAGTGTGTTTTATACCTCCTTAAAAATTTCACCCTGTCGATTGGGTTCATTTTAACACTGAAGTCTAGGGCTTTGCACCAATAACCTGAGTCTATTACTGCATTCTTGATGAAAAGCACTAATAGCTTAAAATGTTTCTTTATTGAATTTTCTTTTTCTCATGAAAGTGACTCTGAAAGCTTTGGAAGGCATTTCTAAAATAATGTCATATGAAAAGTCAGCCTTTTATTAGACTTCAGACCACAGAAGAATCCCATGGACTTTTTTTCTAATATAATTTAACCCCTTCATTCAAGAACAAACTTAAGAGCAAGAGTGTGGGTTAATAGGTAGATTTAGAGGCTTCTGTGCCTCCAGTAATCCTCCTTTCATCAAAACAATGGCTATAATTAATATTTATGATTTTGCCTTTCACCTCAAAGGACTTCACAAATTGTTACCACAGGACTCCTGACACTCGCTGATGAAGAACTCCTCAGCCCAGTAGAGAAATTTATAATTACCTCAAGTTTACTCCATAACGATATGGCTACAAAGGAGGGTTGGTGGTGACTTGAGCCATTCATCTCCCCATCACCAAAAGAATGACTCAGGAATGGGAAATCAATCAACCAGCCCGTAATGATTTCCCAAAGCTTGCATAGCAAAATCATGTTTCGTCAGTCTGTCCCACTGTGATGTCATACAGGCGTAGGCAAATTATAACCTGAGGGCCTCTGGCCTCAGTTTTATACACTGCTTCTCTCCCACCACCTCCTCCTTAGCTCCCAGTGAGTGATTTTTACATTTTTAAAGCATTGTTTTAAAAAAAGAAGAATATGTGACAAAGACTGTATGTAGCCTGCAAAACCCAAAGTATTCATTATCCAATCCTTTATAGAAAAAGTTCACATTCCCTTAGAAGCTAAGGCACAGTGAAAACAGTCCAACTATAAACTTTTGTAATTCAAGCTAGAAACATTGTCTACCCTTAATGAGAGAGTCACTCAGGAACTCGGGCTTACTGTACACATGAATATACTCTGTGGGAACACATTTCAGGTATCACTTAACTCTTCTCAGTCAGCACATTGCTCAGGACTCAGGGGATAGAGACCTAACAAACACCAAGTTCATGTACCAACATGCTTATATGAACACTGTATACACATAGGATATTCATCAACAACTGGGATCGTCAAGTACTGCTGCCGGACCAGAGCACCACTCAACAACAGCACTGAAAGGAAAGGATAGAAAGGAACCGAAAGCCACCTGTCGGTGCACATCTGGGGAGACCTACAGGCAAGACTGAGCCCATTCAGGTCATTATCAGATCAAACAGAACACCAGCAAAATAGCAGCATGACAGTCCAACTGTATACTTTTTTGTCTAGCTGTGGACCAGTTTTATCAGCCATTTATCTGATGGTTATTCGCAAGCCCTACTATCCTTACCAACAGTGAAGATGACATTATTAGCTTCCTAATGTATTAGTAACAAATGTTTTTTGTGTGGGTCATTGTGCTAAATGTTCTACATATATTATATCCTTTAAGTTTCCAATAAGACAGACACTGCTATACTCATTTTACAAGGACTCTTAGTGGCACACCCCACATAATGGAAACCACCTGAAGTAAGCTGAGTGAGTCTCATGGGAACAGCCCCTGATTCATGTCAATCTTCCTGCCAAGTTCACTGAACATAGATCCCATGTGACAGATATTTCCATCAAGAATCCAGAATCCTATTGGAAACTGAAACTGATAAAATTTAGAAATTGTTCTCTGTTATCCGTATCTTTGGAAGGGACAGTTAAAAATTACTCAACCACAAAAATGTACCCCATGTGGTGAAGGTGCTATTTTCATCATGATTTAAAGGCCCGTCCTGCTCTAACCCCTCAATGGGGACCTGAGCATCCCGCTAAAGGTGAATGGAGGTCAAAAGAAACTGAATTAAACACAGAACTAGGCCCAAACTATTGAGGCCATTCACACACTTTGAAAAAGGACCTAAGACCGCTATTTTGTGGGTCTGAATGAATGCCCACTGACCTCCCAGTTTCTGTTGTTTCTCCTACACTGAAATACATCAACATTCACACACATTTGCCATGCATCTGAACAGCACTCGGCATTTTGGAAGTGTGGTCCATTTCCTATTCTGGCATATTAAGTCAGTCTTCGTGTTTCTCTGTACATGTGGCATGCCGTCCAAATGTGACACCTACTGTGGTGTTTGGCCTGTTTCGGCTCCTACTGGCTAGCTTTTCAGTTTCCATGGGGAATTCATACAGAGATAAGAGCCCCTTCAGTGACATGGGAGATATTGGAGTTAGCTCCCAAATTCCTATTTAATCCACAGTGTAGCTGTCCAAGGAAACTAAGAGGAATCGCATGAATTCTTGACCTTAGAATTAAAGCTGCATGACTCAAGAAAAAACAAATTTTAAAAGGGAAAGAGATTTCCCCCACCCTCTTTCCTTGACATGTGGCTGGTTCAAAGAAGAATTCTAAAAGGGGCAAAGCTTGCTTTGACAGCCACATATCGTCCTTTCTACACCCTGTCCCACTTTCTGATACTCGAGTGAGCCTCCTTACCCCATCACCTTGAGGCTGCCCCGTCTCCGAGTGTCCCATCCTCTCTCCCACTATCCCAGAGCTCCTTAAGAATAAGGACCCAGTCTTAGCCACCTTTGCGTCCCTAAAACCTTCCACAACCATTGGTACACAACAAAGTTTACTTCCATTTCTACTCTCCACAATCAAAACCGCCACCCCTTTATGCTAATAGGTCCTTCACCTGGATGGAATGGAAGGTGAGGGGTTACACTTATTAAGTCATTTGGTACTAGAAATGGGATTGATGCTTTAAATTCATTATCTTATTTAACCCTCTTTTTTCTTTTTACTTTTTATTGTAGAAAATTGTAAACATCCACAAAAGTAGAGATAATGACATAAGGAACCTACTATACCCAATGCCCAATCTCTCACCAACCATCAACCTCTGTCCAATACTGTTTTATCTGTATCCCTTACCCTTCCCACTTGCCTTCACAGTAGGTATTTAAAACAACGTCCTAGATACTACATCATCTCGAATATATTTAACTATCTCCCTCACAAATGCAGAACTGGTTCTTTCATTCCAACTGCTATGAATTTCTAAATATAAATAGTACCTCAGTTTTTCTTCACTCATGAATAATTAAGATATAAAATAAATACAATTAAATTACATTTAATCACCTCACAAATACGAAGGATAAAGAAAGATTTTGCAGGTATGTAAACTACTTAAATCTGAGTTATTTCACATTACTTTTCCCATTACCACTCTAACTTCACATTAGTTTTAAGGCTATTATATAGATACGTATATTTTTAAGATAGGGAAAGAATATATAATATATATATTTGTAAAATATATATGTAATATATATTTGTAAAATGTATTATAAAATATATATATTTGTAAAGTACATTGTAAAATTTTACATATTTATAAAAATATATATTTGTAAATATATATACAACAAAATGGACAACACTTTTATACACAAAGTTTTGATTTTGTGTTCAATGCTGTATTTTAATCTAACATTCTAATCATTTCTAGTGGGGAATCTGCCCACTGAATTATTAAATTACATGGTGATAAGTACAATGTTCAACCTAAAGAGACACAAATAAGAGTATAGAGCAATAGACTTTTCGATATGACAGCTTTAAAAACACTTTCACAATCTTAAACAGAAGAATTTAAGCCCAAATTTAATTATGAAACTTTTATATCTCAAATTCCTTAAGCTTTGAAAGTTATTTTTAAAAGCTAACAGCAGAATATTATCAATATGCTATATTTCAAATCACAAATATATCTTAACTACTTGTACTCACTCCCTAATTTTTTAAGAAAGGTTTTTATCATCCTGGTTTTGCAAAAGAACAAAGATTCTCAGGTAGGTAAATCACGCATCATCATGTAACCATTAGGTGGTGGAAACAGAGTTGAATCTAGGCTGAATCAGGGAAAAATCTCTTTTTTCTACAAACTAACAACTCCTGAACCTTCCAAGAGACAACTGCTTTCTTGAAATATGATGTTTTCTAGTCTAAATAAATCTATAACTTGGTGGACCAACTTTCTTTTCCTGGGTTATTTCCTTTAACCCCAACCTACTTCTGAACCCACAAATTTTCTGGGAACTCCAAGTTTTTCACCAAGAAGAGCAGCTGTGGCAGAAGCAAAGAGCTCAGGCAGTCGCAGTGGTGGCCATCCATTCTGAGTGTTTCCTGAGTGAGATGACTTGTACAAACACAAACCCATAGGCAGGAAGGAAAAAAAAACCCTCATTAAACAGCTATAACTAAAGAGGATTCAAGATAATAGGATTCACAATCAAAACTATAATTTAAGCGCATCATCAAAGCTAAAAGCACTGGAGGAGAAAAATTCATCACAAAGGAACTAATATCTTTGAAAGATTAGATTTGTTTATGCGTCTAACCTGAAGTCTATTCCCTCAAAGCATCTGCTCCATGGTTATATCATGAATCCTAGACTGGCTCAAAGGCCAAAAGTTGGTAACAACCCAAATCCGCTAACAGCAGAATGGATTAAAATTTGTGGCATAGTTATACTGTGGAATATCATAAACCACCCACAACAAAATGGGTAAATCTTACATAATGTTGAGCAAAACCAGCAAGTCAGAAAAATAATTCATTATGATTTTCTTGACAGAAAATTAAATGGAGGCAAAACTAAACAATGGTAGAACAAGAGAGAAAAGATAGGAAAGGATTACCCTAGAGTTCCAATAGTGGTTACCTTTCTGTGGCAGGAAGCGGATTGCAATTCCTTAAGGACACACAGGAGGGAGAGGTGAGGACAGGGGATTTCCAGGTATTGGTGATGTTCTATTTCTTGGGTTGGATGGTGATTACATAGAAGTTCAATTTTTAACCATTTAACACATACATACATACTATGTTCTTTTATAAAAGTATCTTATATTTCACAATGTAAAATGTTTAATTTTTTAAATTGCTGGATGATCTTCCCCCAATTTGATTCCATAAAGCTGTAGAACGGAAAGAAAAAGAAGGAAGTTACTAAAAGTTCTCCCAAGGCCAATGTAAGGAGCTGTGTCTCTGTTCTCTTCTTTAGATTCTAAAGTTGCACTGGGGCCCATGGCTGCAATTCTTAACCCACATGGACTTTAAATAAATATTTTATGATGTTGAGGGCTTAAGTAATGATTTATGTAAACATCAGGAGCTGCTTCACAGAACGTAGTCTCATGACACAATTTTAAATTGACCTGAGATCTCAGTGTGGTGTGTCTGAGACTGAGCGTAGAATATAAGAAAGTCTCATTAACTTGTCAAGTTGACAGAGTTTGGGAGCTTGTTTCCGTGTTGCAAATCCAGTGTTTGCAAAATAAGCATTCTCATATATGGTCAGTGGGTCTATAAATTAGCACAATATTTAAGAAGGGCACTTTGGCAATATTCATCAAAAGGCATCAAAATATCTTTTGACTCAGCAATTCCACTTCTGAGAATTAATCCTAAAGAAGTAGTCATGGAGTTTGTATGTAAAGATTTGGCTATAAGGACATTTGGGATGGCATTGTTTGGAAGAGCAAAAATTGGGAAGCAACATGAAGGTCCAATGATACGAGAGTTGTTAAATAGATTGTGGTTCCCCCCTTCAATGGAATTCCACACAGCCGTTACAACTTTTGTTGTAGAGGACTATTTTAAAACATGAAAATATGTCCATAATATATTATTTTTTAAGTCTAGTTACAAAGTTCTGTGTGCAATTTAAGATATATGCATAGATACATAGCTACACAGATACATAGATACATAGATAGATACATGGATAGAACCCAACCACCCCACAACTTAGTAGCTTAAAACAATAACTATTTTGTTCTCTCTCTTGTTTCCGTGGGTTGGCTGAGAGGACCAACTGGGCTAAGATGAGCAGTCCTTGTGTTAGTCTCATTGTGGAGACTGCTGGTGGGTGCCCAGCTCATCCCACTTTGCCCAGGACTTTCCCAGTTGTAGCACTCCATGTCTAGGAAGGTCCCCTTGGTCCTTGGAAAACTGGGCCGGTCAGTCTCAGACTAGCTGCCGGAGCTGGACTCCCAGAATGACGACAGTGACTCTAGGTTGTGAGTTTATGGGTGAAATGTATTTTCTTTTATTTCACTTTTCTACATTTTCTATGTTATATCATATGCTTCTAAAAAAAAATCAATGAAATTTTTAACTAAAACTTCATTACCTATAATTCTAATCATATAACCATTTTAGTTCAGCAGCAGGGTGAGGCTTACTTCTGTACCACATATAAAGAAATTGGATGGTATGAATAAGATCATCTGGAAGATGTTTAAAACCTTACGGTATGGGTCAGTAGTTCCCAGTCTTGTTTCCTGCCCCGCCCAACTGCAGGTATGACACATCCCTTCAATAAACGCCGCTCACCTGGCAGAGAGTCCAAACCAGGCGCGGATCAGGGGGAACGTTTGGGTTAAAACAGCCCCCAAAGTAAGTTCAATGTATTTTGGCTCATGTCTGCTTAAGGGTAATTAACCATTTCTTTACAGTCAGGTTTATCTATTTTTAAAAAATATATTTTAAAATGTTTTAATAGGTTTTACTATTCCGTAGCAAAATTATTCATTCTTGGCTCAAATTTATGAAATTTTACTCTATTTCACATGCTAGCACATACATTCTAAAACTTCACGTCGTACCATACAAGTCCATAAAAGAATAGTGTAAGGTTTCAGGTGCGCGGGCTGACTGTGGTAGGGACGTCAGATCCTTTATATAGTCTAACATCCTTGTTATATACATTCTTCTTTCACCAGTTTGAAATTATCCTGTTTTCACTATTCATTAGCTGAGCAGCCACAGACTAGACTTATTTCCTTTCTGTAATGAATGTTCTCATAAGCTTAATCAGTCCAACTTGTTGATGACATAGTCAGGTGCAGAAATTAAGATAATAAACTGAGCTAGCATAATCCGCTCTCAGCAAATAAATTTCAGCCTTGTTTTCCTCCGTCTCTCTGAATTATATGCACACACATACACACACGTGATTTTGTTTTCTGGGAACCTGCCTTTCTGCATAAAAGATTTCTGACATAAGACATTCCCTAATGCCTTAAGAGAAATGCAATAAGAGGTGAACAATAAGCTGTGATGGAGATGGGGAGAGAAGCAGGCATAATATTCCAGTTCTACCAGTCAACTAATCATTTTACAGTATGCGAGCAATTTGATGCTAACAGAGGCCATAGTCTGTTCAGAATCAATTATTTCTCTTTCTATGCCAGCAAGTCCACATATGTACTGTACACTGATAATTTAAAAACGAACAGCAACATTGTTCATTCCTAACAATGCTGTGTAATTCTTATGTGGCAAAGACATTCAACATTACAAAATGGAATATTCTCTTCTGCAAGGTTCACGAAAGAATTTGGATTCCAGATGCATTGTTAGCTTCATTGGGGTTATATCCTTATTGCCCGGGCACCGGAAGGTTAAATTAGAACAAGGGTATTTTCCGAAGTAGCACTTGACCCTCCCTCCTGGAGTTTTATTTTACCCTACCATGTCTCACGGATTTAATTTCCACTAACACAGAAAACAGGTCCCAGCCCGCTGGAAAGGAGCAAAGAGAGGAGCTACATCTCGCTCCGAGCGGGCTTTGGCCACAGTCTGGACTTGCTCACGCTCAGCCCCTCAGCCTCCTGAGGGCTCTGATTCAAATCCCCTGCAGTTTGCTATGGCTGTGACAAGGTCTAAGCAAGAGGAAACCAATTGTTTCAAAAGCAAGCAGCACTTTCTCTTCGTTTCACAAAAACCTTCTGATTAGCTGTCAGTGGATTAGCCTCATCCCTTGTCAGGTGGCAGGTTGACACAATGGAGGGGAGAGGGGGTGAGCTCTAAAACACTGAACCATTTTATAACGCTTATCTCATATGCCCTTAAACTTTGTGTAACACATGGGAGTCATGTGTAAGCAAAACAAATACAGACTGTGAAGGATGACACTAAGTCAGTGGGGAGACAACCAGGAAAAAAGAAGAATGACTAAAATCTTGGTTTCCTTTATAAGAGACTTTCAGAATAAGCTGTATTTTCTTTCAGCTTTGACATCTTGAGATATTTCAAGATACACATATGCCTGTTTTATAATCTCATATAACCTTAGAGTTGGAAAAGATCTTATAGGTCACCCAGCTGGGTATTTCACGAATATTGATGCACACTAGAATCACCTAGGTGAGCTTGGTCAAAATACAGACGCTCTGGGGCAGAACAAGCTCCCCAGGTGATCTTGTGGCATCCC